ATCCTGTACTCCTCCTGATCCAGACATAAAATTTCCAGTACATCTAAGAAAACTTATCTTCATCTGAAAGCAACCTCGGTGTTGTCCCACTGAGCACAGTGCACTGTTTGCAGTTTCACTGTGTACAATTAGTCCGGGCCCCCCTTCCAAAGGCATTCCATAAGGTTATGCACACACCTTCAGGTCAACAGATGAGATTTTAATGAAGCCCACTGAGTTTAATGGGGTTTACCTTCAGGCACCTGTGTTTAGGGCTGCTGCCCAAGAAGGCCTGAACAAACAGGAAACCCCCTAAAGCATTGTCTCCACAATGCCAGTCACGTTTGTTTTCTGACCAATAGTGGGCTACAAAAAATCTTTTGTAATATTAATATTTTCTCTGCAAAAATGAATGTTACCAGTTTTCTTTAATGCCATAGAAGTTTTGATACTTCCATTTTCTCTACAAAAAGAGGAGGAAACGATATAATTTATGATAGGGGGCAAAGTGATTTTATGGTGTTTCTCCTTGTTGACAGAATGATTGGAATAAAATCACATTCTGTTGACAAAACTGTGATGAAAGGCCTTTTGTGAATGTTATGGAGTAAAAGTTTGACAAAATGCATTTCGCCGTTGGGATGAAATAAAGGTTTAGACTAAATGCATCTCATCCATCTGCTTTGTGTGCTCAGAATGATGTGTGGCATTTTACAAAACCACTTTGTGGGATTCTGAGTGAATAATTTTATTGAAAGTATCTAGGCCTACAGAGTGAAGGGGCACCAAAAGAAAAGCAACACTAGTATAAAGTTTTCTATTAGATTAAAATCAAAAGCAACCAAAGAATAGCCATTGCCACAGAAAATTAAAAGTTACTACATTTTAAATATATTTTATGTAATAGTGATTTAACTGTTTTATTTTCGAGCACGGCCCAGATAATTCTTGTTACAAGGCAGCTTATACTTTGAGTAAGTCTAGGTCTCACAACTTAGAAAAAGGGAGTGGGGGTTGCAATCTGTAATCAGATCAAGAACACTCCAGAATTCTGGAGCTCAAATTGTTTCATGGTTTTCTGCAAAGTTTCTGGAGATGAGACAGCCTCACCAAGGCCTCAAGCTTGATTGGTTTAGGACTTGCTGTGAGGATGACCCAAACTTCCTGACCCCTTTGTGCTCTCAAGTAGCCACCCAGCTGAGGTTTTTGAATGATATGAGGCATACATTCATCTTCCCCAGCTGGTACCCTCAGAGTCACACTGTGACAAATTTGCTAGGCCCTCTAAGAACAAAACTGTTTGTTTTCAGAGTGATCTGAATACCTAGGTTGAGACAAGTCTTCATAAGGTGTCCAGTCCATCATTTTATCCAGTTTTGTGGGATCAGTTTCAGTTGCTGTAACCTGACAGTGTGTGGACTTGCTGCTATATGGCTGGTCACATGCACTTGACCCTTGGCCATTTTGGTTGGATGAATCCAGAAAGTGTTTAATACATCTTTATATGAGGGTGTGGTACCTCCTGCCTTTCACAAGTCAACTGTGAGACCACTGCTGAAAAAGCCCTCCTAGGACTCAGAGGATTATGACAACTAGTATCCTATTACAATCCATACTGAGGCAAGGTACTCAAGAACATGGTGTAGCACAGCACCAGATGCTGTTGGAGAATACAGAGTACCTGGACTCATTTTAACCGAGGTTCAGGCCTAGTTTAGAGATGGATTTAGAGTTAGTCATCCTAAAGAATGACCTTTACTGGGAGAAGAACAATGGGCGAATGACATTGTTGCTTTCTATTAATCTCTCAGTGGCTTTCCATACCATTGCAGGAAGCAGCAGTGAGAAAATATGAAAAAAGTCAATGCCAATGCCAATGAAAAGTGCCAATGAAAAATACTTCTTATTGTCCTATACATTTTGGAAATATAGTTTTCCTCCTTCAGGGCCTTCAACTATTTCTATCTATTATAAATTGGTAGATGTAGCTCTTTCCAGTATCGCAAACTGATGATTTTCAGTCACTTCAGTAAAGCACTTTAACAGTTGACACCCATCACTTCATCCTTCAAACATGTTCCTTCTCTCATTCACTCATTAGTTTTCCATGCCATCACCCATGACATCCTTGTAGACTTGGGTCCATGAGTTTGTACTGAAAGTCAGCGATCCCATTCAGTGGCTTCATGTACGTGTTAAAGACCAGCCACTGAGGAATTCCATGCTGGGGAAGCCACAGAACCAAGCAATATCCCCAAGTACCAGCTTCTGGACCACTATTGCAATTGACTAATCCACACTCCCAACTCAGACAGACACCCCAAAAGGATACTGTGGTTGTTAGTACTGAAAACCACCAAGAGAACCAAGATTATCAACAGCGTCACACACACTACCCTCTTCTCTCTCTCAACATAAGTTGTCATACAGGGCAGCAAAGTGATTTCAGTACCAAAATCTGAACTTCAACTCTAATGAATCCAGATAATCTAGATAATTAGTCTCATTCAAAGGTATCTTGTCCTGGTTGGCCACCACCTGCTCAAGGACCTTTCCCAGTTTGCCACTGGCCTAAAGTTGGTATGATCTTGCAGGGAGGGTTTCTTCAGGAGTGGTCTCATCACTGTCTCTTTCAGACAGAATGTGGGCATGGCCTCCCTGGCCCAGCTGGCTGTTCCCTCTCTGCTGGTTTTCACTGACCAAGAGCGGCAGGGATCGAGAATAGAGGTGGTTGCACAAACCTGTCCAAACAGTTTGTCAACATCCTTGAGGTTTACCAACTGAAACTTGTCCAAAAAAACCTGGACCAGGTTGTGCTCTGAGTATCTCACCTGATTCAGCTGCTATACTTCAGCTGGAGCCTAAATCCTGGTGGATGTGACAGATTTTGCCCTGCAAGTGTCCAGTGTGTTTACTGCATTAGGTGTCAGATGGTTTTACAATTTCTATAGGGCCATTGAACAAAAGGTCCCAGATGACCCTAAAGACTCCACTGGACAGCAGATAGACAACTGAATAGAGACAGACTATTTTTCTTTTCCGTCCCACTGCCCTTAAACCTGATTATAGGCCTATACCAGGGCTTGCTTGCATCCTGTAGGCATTTTCCTTCATCTGCATTCAAGTTTGTTTCATCAATCTCAGTTCCATGGTATACTATACAAGCCCTACTACTGAGGGGCAGCCAGGAGTAAAACTAAGAAGTACACAGACCTTCTGTCCTTTAGCCAAGCAGTTATTAAGTTTAATTGCAGATATATGGGTCTTTTTCATTGTGAGGAGCAACAGGTCCCTTCCAGAGCTTGTCAATCTTACTCCAAAACTCTTCTTAGGGAATGGTCATGTACAGGAGAGTGGACATGTAACACAGCATCCCCCCTTCCTTTCCCACGGTGAGGAAGCCAGGAAGACCACAGTGGAGGAACAAGAATAGAGAGATTGTTAAGCAGAGCAGTTAAGAGTTCCTTCCAGTCTAGGGAGCATAAGCAAAATACAAGGCAAATTTAATTGTTCCTCTCTAAGTAAAATATTAGAAGAATTTAAATGGATCCCACATAAATGCAATGATGACTACCAAAATATTTGTGGCAGTGCTGGGTAGGAATCCCTATCATCTTTAAATGATCTCATATATGTCAGCTATGAACATCCTACTAAAATTTTATGATGTCTTCTTGGACTCTTCAGACCAAAGGCTGTATCTACGAAATACTTACATTTCAGAAAATCTTAGCAAACAGTAAGATAAACCTGATTGTCTGATTGTCACTCACCAAAATGCATGGTTATACATTAAAAAAAAACCCATAATGACACAAAATGCAGGGAAATGGTAAAAGGCAATCAGCGTAATGTGTTATAAGTAAAATAGCAAATTAAATGCAAAAACTATGCTAATGGAACATTCAGGTTCAGATTCTAATTGCCCAAAGGCAGGGAACTGATTGTTATGGTTCTCATAGCAATCATGGCTCAGGCCCTTGAAAATATTTAGAATTCTGTCTTCAGGACTGTACAGCATGCAAAATAATAAGTTGCATAATGTTGAAGAGCAATAGGGAAGGCAGATGGGGTACAGAAGCACACTCAGTGCCCCTTTTATACCTTCTAAAGCCATTTTTCTTATATCTGGATAGGACATGCAATTAATTGGAACACCAACTACTCCTAGTTCTTATATTTTGGTATATAAAAGAAATAAGCACAAACAACCCGGTTCTAATAAACCCTCAGGTGAAAACACATTCAGCTACCTTACCCACCACTCACCTATCTCCTATTTCATTAATTTATTTTGCCAACCCAAAAATTCACAGAATTGGGAGGTCCATTGCAATATTAGAGAGAGAGGCATTGAGAGGACAATAAATGATATCCAGGTTTAATAACCAAAAAGATTTCTTCTAGCTTGCAAAAATATAGCAAAATTGTTCTGACCACACATAGAGCACCTTTCCCTTTCCATTGACAAGTGGTAACTTGCCCTTCCCACAGGATTTAGGGGACTGGCTAGCAGCAGTGAAGGCATTGCTCCCCAAAAGCCTAAGTCCACTTTCTGGAAATAAAACATTGGCCAAGTCCCCTGGCAAACCCCAACTTCTTTTTGCAAAGCCCTTGAAGACAGAGTCTTTCTCTCTCTCCTAAAGAAAGCCACTCCCCTTTTCTCCCATTCCTTGCAGTAACCTTCACAACCCAGCTTGTTTGTTTGTTGAGTTAATCAGCCTTCATACTTTCTGGTGTGGAGAAGGAAATGTGATAATGAAACAGCTGCAAGAAGGAGAGAGGTAATGATGTGGAGGAGCATAAAGGGAAGATTCGAAATTTCCTCAGCCTTCCCTTATCCAATCAGTTAAACGATTTACAAAGCAAACCTATTCATTGTTGTTTAAAACTCTACCTGCTGCTGAAGCGGCAGAGAATATTTGGGAGGAGTATATTCTTGGAATGACGGGTAGAGGCTGACATTGCAAAGGTGGAGAACAGCACTAGAAGCAAGATGACAAAGGTGTGGAGGAAGCTGCTTTGCAGATGAAGAAGCATATGATTTAATACATGATTACATGTGAATTAATGCATAGTAAGGAGTAGCCGTGGTAAGTGACTGAAAATCATGTGGCCAAGTTTCCTCTCTCTCCACCATCAGATCTCCAGTATGCCCAGGAAGAGGAAGGGAGAAACCACAGCACAGGAATATTCCTGACATCTGTAGAAACTGGAGAACAGACTCTATCCCCAGACAAAACAAAACAACAAAACACTCCAGGGGTTTGGCAGCTCAGATTTCAACAGCTTGCCCTGAATCTTCTTGATTGACAAAACCAAATATTTCATCACTATTGGCTTCTTAGTGAGTGGGTTTGTTGAAGGTTAAGTCTTGTCATTGGGCCATAATGGTGGGAGCATTTTCCTTGGTGTTTCATCCAGTTCTGAACCTGGCCACGCTCTGGGAACAGTGAAGGAATTTTCTTCTTGGGCTACCTACTGACAGCCTTTTCCTTATGTAACAGTAAAACTGTTTTGTCAAGAAATCAGTAGTGAACGTTTCTAAGCCCCCAGTCAGCCACCAAACAAGGGAATTGCTTGGTGAGGCGTGATGTTCTATGTCCTACTTTAGATAAGCCCAATTTAAACTTTACAAATGACTGAGCAATCTTGCAGAGTGTGTGTGTGTGTATGTATATACACTATCTTTAAAAAACATTCCCCCAATATCAATTGTCAACTAAGAAACCTACCATATGCTCATACCACCTTGTTCACAATTATTAAGGTAGTGTTCTTTCTTGATGGCATTGCTTCTTAGGATTAATAAGGCATATCTGCAATTGCTTCTGAGATAGCTTATTGAAACATCTGACTCTTTTCCCAGTTCTTTAACAGCCTGAAACAGTCAGTAAAACATTTTGAAAAGACAGCTGCCTGCTGAACATAACTGCATCTTTCTGAAAAAAACAAAAACAAAACCCCTATGAGGACAAACTCAGTCGTTTTCTGAAACCAGCTGAGCAAGCCTTGTTCTACAATTGTGCTGACAGCACTCAGTCAGAAGCAGGTTCCTGTTCTATTATCTCATTACAGCTAATATTAGCACAGAAAACCCCCAGGTTTGGTATTGCCTTCTCTAAAGGGCTGAAACCATCCCAAACTCAATCTCTAAGAACAGAAGAGCAAGAAGTTCTTTGCGAAGCTTCCAGTTTCTCTGTGGCCTGCACTTATTGATTGCAAAGTGATTAAAAAGCAGACGCAGACCACTAGAGTCAAATAGCTCTTGAACAAGTTGGTGTCCTGCTCTTGGCACTGACTCCTCTGAACAGCTACAGAATCACACACTCCTGATGTGAAAAACAGGGACAGCCTGTTTTTTTCCACTCATTTTTGCAAAATTGACACAGACGGTTCATACAATTACCCCACAAGTGCTCCTGCTGTTTGTCAGGACTTTTCTCCATTTGGCATCCTGTGCAATTTACACCCGAATCCATTCCAGAGGGGTTTTGTGGTACTCTGTTGAAGCAACTTAAAAACAAATAAGTTTTTTAGAGCCTTAAGAAAATCTTCTGAGGTCCTCCTTAGGGAGCCCCTCTGAGGGAAGTAAGGAGGGTGGTGACCAGAAGAAAGGCCTTTTTGGTTGTGGTACCCCATCTATGCAATCAGCTCCCCAAAGAGGTATATCAGGAGTCTACACTTTTCTCTTTCCAATACCAGGTGGAAAACTTTTTATTCTCCAGATATTTTAATAGTTAAACTTTAGTTTTACTTTTATATCATTACTGTCCCTGTATCTTTAACCTGATTACAGCAGCAGTAGCCCTGTTGGACTGTATTACTGTGCCAGTGTTTGTAACTTGATACAGCAACCGTGGTCTTGTTGATATTGGTGGTTTTAGTGATTTTATTGGTTTTACTGTTTTGCTGTATTGTGTCTGTCCTTGATCCCGTTAACCACCCAGACAGCCTTTGAGCTATTGGGCAGTTTAGAAATGTAATGAATGAATGTGTTTAGAGGTTCTGCTGTGGCCGGTCATGCCTGCTCCTAGGGCATGAGTCAGATATAGTCTTAGTCAGCTTTAGTCCTTACCTGTGTAACTGCAGTTTTCACAATCTGAATATCTTTGTCTGAAACTTAGCTTCCTTTCCTTTTCACCTGCTGTTGAAAAGTGCATTATTAGCTTTGTGAAGCAGGGACTGGAGCCTTTGTTTCTTATAAAATACTGCATATATTGCTGGTGCTGCATAATATTGAAAGTAAACAATATAATGGTGCATTATAGCATTAGCTTTCATGAGTTTCAGCCCACTGTCTTCAGATGCAGGACTGGTATCTATTAGGCAGCACACATTAAGGAAAGGGAGAAGGAAGGATCCCTCTGCGGAGTATTAACTGTGCCATTCCTTGTCATAAGATGTCGTGATGGCCACAGGTTTAATAATCCAATGGAATGTGCTGGCAGAGACATGCCTGTGGTTTCTGGCTTTAAAAGAGATTAAGTAAACTCAAAGGCATAAGCAATGAGAGAGCCAGCGTGATGTAGAGTTTAGAGTACTGGCCTGGGACTCAGAAAATCTGGGTTTAAGTCCCCACTCAGCCATTAAACTGCTTGGGTGACTTTGCACCAATCACTGAATTTCAGCCTCACCTACCTCACCGTTGAGAAGATAAAATGGAGAGGAGGGGACCATGACAGCTACCTTGATTCCTTGCAAGAGCCACAAGAGCTGCCTATAAATGTAGCAAATAGGTAGATAAAATACTATCACCCACGATAGCTAAATGGGCACCAACCCTTCAGGAGAGCCCCTCCAGATCAGGCTAAAGGCCTGGCTAGTCCAGCTTCCCATTCAGGCAGTGACCAACCGGCTGCCTGTGAGAGCCCTGCAAAGAAGACAGGAGCGCAACCGGCCCCCAGTGCTTGCTCACTGCCAGCTGCTGCGTGGAGGCACCCTGCCTCTGGGGTACTCCAGGCCCAGAGGCAGCCTGCTTCTAGAAACCAGTTGCTGGGAAGCAACAGCAGATGGGGGCTTTTGCTGTCAGGCATGGGGGGGGGGCGGGGGAGCTGCCTCTGACTGGCTACTGCTGGAAACAGGATGCTGAGGTAGGTGCGGCTTTGTTTGAATTCATCAGAGCTGAACAAAGCATTAGCTTGGTTTTGTTTCAATTATATAATGTAAGTATTTGTACTGATTGCTACCAGTATATAATTGCAGGCGTTCCTCCTTAAAAAGGAGAAGAGTAAGCCTTCCTATCCAAACAATAAAACAGGAAGCAAGCAAGTAGCTAGAGAAAAGGATCTTGGCTGCCTCCCAGGTCTCCCTTGCTATGTACCTGTAAAAACCATGAATCAGCAAAAGCAGCTAATCTGACAAACCAGAAAGACTGGCTTTCCGACATTGCAAATACATTGGCAAGCATTAAATTGCTGTTAACAACTGTGCTGGATGTTATATTTTTAAAAACAACTCTTGAACATTTATCTGTTTAATTGGTAGGTCTCACTACTCCATAGATCAGTAACATATAATTTCAAAAGCCATGCAAAGAGGTGAGTGTTGCATAATTATAAAAAAACATGGTTCAGCTAGAAACATTAGCAACACAATGTGTTTCCAAGCAGGTTGTGCTAGAATCCAAGCATACTGCATGCTTTCCTGGAAATAATTCTAGTTTCTTCTTGTATTATTTGCTAGAAATAATGGTAACCTACTTGACCTCTCCTAAGCCCTAATCCTTGAAAAGCCTCTAGACTCAGTCTGTTTCCATGCTCTATACCAATGTGCCTCTAATGCTAGCAACCACACTGAAGAAAGCAACAAAAGGGGGCAGCAGCAGAAGCAAAAGAAAACTTTGTGGATTTAGCTAGTGTCTGATTCACATAATGATGACCCTGATCTGATGTTATATCCTCCTCTCATTTCTCCTCCCTGAGAAGGCCTGTTCCATAGTGCAACATTTTAAAAGAACATGTAAGATCCAACATGTGTAGATCTGTAAAATGCGATCTGGGAATTGACTGCACAATTTGAATCGACATATCTTAAATCTTTCATTCATACTGGGAAAGGAGAGGAGAGGAATCAAAGCGAGAGTTGAGGGTCTGTTGGGGGTCACGTACCAGTGGAGAGGCATCCAAGGCAGCAGGCACAGAAGTTTTAATCTCTGTGGTTTTGCTTGCAGTGGAAGAGGCCAAAGCAGGGCAGCAAAGTTATTTACTGTTGTTTTATACATGCTTATGCGCACACACACATGCACTTAAAAAGTCAACTGTCAAGTTGTCTTCTCATCATCACACTTTTAAATGCCTAAGATCCTATCACACTGAAGCATATCACCAAGGTACTAAAGACAGACTATGTTGATTCAACTGTTGCTCAGGTCTCAGTGGATCCCACTGAAATCCATGGAGCAACATTAATGGGCTACCATGTAGGGCACATTGAGAAGAGAAGAACAATCCCTTGCCAAATTTACCAGGCCTAATCAGGAGGCTTAGCTGTATCCTGATAGTATGTCCATGTGCATCACTTTACCTGTACAGAAAGGAATGTTAATTCACTTTTTTGGGGTGGGGGGGGAGGAGTACCTTTGACACTGGGTGGTATAGGTCTTTCCCAGGGAATTTTTAAAAAATGTTTTTTGTTATTACATGCCTTTATTGCTGTAAGAGGTTATAAACCAAACACTTTCTTAAGATATGTGTTCACAGGAAAGTCTTTAACAAATGAAATGATACTTTTGACTTCTATGTGCTATATAGCGTTAAGAATTTTAATCTCTCTCTCTTCCCCCCCCCTCCCTTCTGGAGGTCTGGGAGGAGTCTCTTCTCCCATCAGTTGTGGCAGTCTGGTGTTTTTCTTCAAAAGTTCCTTTTCTGTCATGTACGTAATACTCAAGAAAGCTGATGTGAGAGTTTCTGGGTGGCAGGTGTGCTTCCAAGAAAGCAGGGTCTGGGGTGGACCACAAGCTGAGCAAGTAAGCTCACTCCCACATTAACCACACCTAAAGGCAATTGCAAAACAAACAGTTCCCTAAACATCTCTATAGTTTGGAGGTCTTGGTCTCTTAACTTACCACCCCATGTACCAGATGCCACCCTTCCCCTGCCCTCACAGCTTATTCTGCTTGTGCAATGGCCGTCTTGCCAGCGCTGGGCACGACTGTACCAGTAGAGAAGAATGCATTGTAAATTGGACAAATTTCCCTTGACGGGGGTTGTTCAGTAGGCCACTTTTGCCGCAAGTGTTCTAAAAAGCTGCCTCATCGAGTTTTGGGGAAACTCGTTAGGGACATCCCTTTGCTATCAGTTCCACTTCTTCACTGAGTGAAAACAGAAGGCTGAAGTACTCTTCTGGTCAGCAAAAACTGAAGCAGGATGGCCACCTAGTAACTGAATTTTCTCAGGGGAGGGGACATGCAGCTAACTTTTGCATGGTATTCCTGTAGTTAGAACACCACTGGAATCCCCTCTGCTTCAGGTTTTCCTTTCTATTCTAGCATTTCATAAATATGTCATATTCTTTGTTAAATTCAAGTTTTACAACTGGAAGGGCAAGGTTTTTCCCCTTCTGGATGGCACTCTACCAAAGTGAAGCTACCCCTTTGATCTCTGCTCCAGTTTCCTCCAACCAGAAAAAAACACTTAACACTAAGCACTTTTTTTTCATTATCTGTCTGGTCAATCCATGGAGGCTTTTCAGAGATGCCTTGAAGAGATGGTTGTTGATGAGGGCAAGGAGGCTCTGCAATGGAGAGTCTCTGGAGCTGAGATTACTCTGGTTAAATCTAACCTGGTAAGCTCCAATCTACTTCTCCCAGGGAATTCCTAAGAAAGGGACTTGAGTATTTTCCTTTTGGTGTTCCTCTGCTAAGCCTCAGGGAGCTACAGGAGATGGAATGACAGATAGGAAGGGGATATTTGTGAGTATCTGTCTGCCCTGCATGGGTTGGATACGACCTGGGAATGGAAATAAATTATGTGTGAGTGTGTGTGTGGGGGGGGGGAGTTATTCTAGGAACCGGCAGGGCTAATGAGACTATTCATTTGGAGCAGAACCCATCCACAAAGTGCCAGGGAAAAAATCTGGTGAATAAGTGGGGGACAGTTCTGCCCACTGAAGCTCTTGCTAGTCCTTCAAGAATGCAGCACTCCCAAAAGTTTTCCTTGCCAGTTGATGATGCACACTGCCCTGTGTGAATTTGACTAATGGCGCTGTAATGAACTCCATTCTAGATAATATACAACCAAAGAAGTGCAAAAGGATGGTAAAATAATACATATGTAGCAGATGGGAGAAAATTACCTGAATTACATAGTCAGGGACACTGCATGGTTTATAACAAGCAGATTGTGAGTGGTGAGTCATTCCTAACCTCCTACAAATGCCTTTCCATCCTTACAAATCAATATGGAACTGCAGTTCATAATTACTGCCTTATGCCAAGACGTACAAGCTGAGTTTCCTTTTTCATTACATTTAAACAAAGCTTACAAGCAGAACTTCTCTGGATT